CATCGACCCTGCCTTGAGTGTGACAGGGGGCGGTGCAACAACCCCCCAATCGGCCCTACCCTGAGCGTGACTGAGGGTGGCATGGCAACCTCCCAATCCGCCCTGCTCTGTGCATGACAGGGGGCGCCCCAACTCCCCCCCCCCCCCGAGTGCACAAATTTTTGTGCACCGGGCCTCTAGTCTATATATATAAAAGCCTAAGCGACCGAACGACCAAATGACTGGTTGTCCGGTCGCTATGACGTGCACTGACCACCAGGGGGCAGATGCTCAACACACAGGATTGGGCTCCCTCCTGTCTGGATCGGGCTTGCGGGGATTGGGCCGAAACCGACTCTCCGACATCCCCCGAGGGGTCCTGGGTTGCGAGAGGGCGCAGGCCAGGCCGAGGGACTCCACCGGCGCACGAATCCGTGCACCGGGCCTCTAGTACTTTCTTAATGATCTAGAAGTCATTTCACATTCAGAATTCTTGGGCTCTTTGGAATACCTGGAAACACAGCCAGAATATTGTACTCAGGGGAGAGCTGGCCCCAGTCCCTTCCCACCGCTTCTCTTCCCATTTCTGGCTCCCACCCACATCACCGAGTGTGTGGATACTCCAAGCCACATCCAAGTTCTGCCCATACCCCTTCGATCAGCCATGCCTTGGTCACCTTTCAGGTCTAGGGGTGCACACATTAGCAGCTGGGGGAGAAAAGCCAGGAAGAGGCTCTTGCAGGTACCATTTGGGCAGTACATTTCAGGGGTATAGGTGCCCTGAACATGGTCTAGACCAGGGGTGGGCAAACTTTTTGACTCGAGGGCCACAATGGGTTCTTAAACTGGACCGGAGGGCCAGAACAAAAGCATGGATGGAGTGTTTGTGTGAACTAATATAAATTCAAAGTAAACATCATTACATAAAAGGGTACAGTCTTTTTTTTTTTTAGTTTTATTCATTTCAAACGGGCCGGATCCGGCCCGCGGGCCGTAGTTTGCCCACGGCTGGTCTAGACTCCAGAAGGAGGCATCTGGACTTTGGGGTGGTATATCCTCTCGGCCCCACAAATTTACCCCTTCTTGCACAGGGCAGTGCCTGGAACAGGGCCAGAAGTATTCAAGTTCATAACCCAGGGCAGGGCGTTACCGCAGAAAATGAGAATTTGCTGAATGCCGACAGTGAACTGGCCCCCTGTTTAAAAAGTTTGAGGACCCCTGTTATAGATGAATGTGGTACAGGGGATGTGGCCACACATAGGGTAGTGACTAAACATTTACCCACCACTTGAGCTCTGGGCCTCAGGTATTAGGTTACTGAGGGACACAAGTAAATAGCTAAGCACAACACACGTTCGACAGCAGTTACTGGAAGTGTTTGAAATGCCCTGGTCGGAGTGGGAGGGGAGGAGAGGGAAAAGTCACCGCTCAGTACCCAGCTGGCTGGAGCAGAGCCATTTGCAGAGATGGTGGAACCTGGAGAAGACATGAGTTGGGGGGGCGGGGGGAGGTGAATTCTCTTTGGGATAGAAAGACCGCCTCGCCTCTCCTTTATCAGGGGGTGAAGAAAGGCAACACGGTTTCCAGAGTCCTGTGTTTCCACCCTAGCACACCTCATCCCTGGCTGGCCTGTCTCTGCTGATGTCCTTACTAACGCGAAGAGCGTATCTTAGTAAGGTGATAACCATCCCATAATAAACATGGAAAGTGCCAGTCTCTAGAATAAATAGTCCCCATAGACTGTTATGCTTGTGCTAGAGATGATGTACTGTTTGAACTTCACTATTTATTTATTTTTAAATATATATATTTTTTGAAAATATATTTTTATTGATTTTAGAGAGGAAGGGAGAGGGATAGAGAC